CGCGGCCGGCGCCCGTCACACTGCAGAGCCGATTTAAAGAGACAACCGGCCAGGTTTGCCTTCCAACAGAATCAGACAACTCACATTAAAACGATTCCCTGAAAGGAGGACTGGATGGTTTTATTTTCTTTTTGAAGGAATTTCCTGTCCATCGAGGGCCCCAAGAACAGAAATGTGAAAAGGACATTGATTTCGAAGGAATTTTCATAGTCCTTGTAAAAATAGTCTGAAATCCAAAATATGCTAAAACGGAGACAAATACAGAGTGAATTCATCCCAGCGTGAGTCAGCAGGGTCGGTATTGACAGGCTCGAGGCTTGCAGAAATGGTCCCTGTCCACACCCACTACCCCCAGGGTCACAGCCACCTGCAACCTGAGTAATAGAATCTGGGGCCAAGAAAGAAGGTGAGTGTGAGTGATGGAGGGGCAGGAGGTGAGAGCCAAGCACAATATCTCACCTGCAGCCAAGAAGGGCAGGGCCTACCCAGGCCCCACGTCCCTCTCCCCCAGGGATTCCCTACCTGAACCATGGGTCTAGGTAGGTCTGGGTCCAGGTTGGCTCGTTTTCTTCACCAGCCCCATCTGGGGGAATCACTGGCTCTTCCCCCTTCTGTTCCTCTCCTTGGCCCTCAGTCCCTGCAGGGCTGCCTCATTCCCTCAGGTTTTTGACACTAGTGCCTGCTCAGGGGGTCCCCAACTCCCTGCCACTCTGGAAGTTGAGAGGCCTGAAGTCCGTAAATTTGGGGCAAACTGCTGTTAAGAGTCAAAGAAGGCAGAATTAGAGACAGGAGTACTGCAGCTTCAGTTTCATCCCTCGGGGTACATTCTTCCTAGTGGGGTATGCCCAGGGCTCCTCTGTGGGGATGCTGTGACAAGCCCTGACTTTCAGAGGAGGGACACAAAACCCAGGGAGCAGATTTATCTGGTTCTTTGTCAAAACTGGGTTGAGACACTCCAGGGGCCCCAGGCCCCAGCTACCCTGACTTCATCAGCACCGCTTCCCGCAGGGGCTGGAGGGCCAAGAAGGGGAAAAGAATAGGGACGAGCAAGTGACTTCCCCCAGACAGGGCTTTCTGAAGGGCTACCTGGTGGCCTCTGGGCAGTCAAAGGAGGGTGATGGGGAGAGGCCGTCTGAGCCTGGGGACTCCAACCCTGACATCTTACTGCCTGCACTCTGCAGCTCCTTCCACAGAGACTGCTCCAAATATGGGGTGTAAGGGTGAACACAGGTCGACCTGTTTCTCCCAAAGAGCCTCCTAGCCTATGACCCAGGGGCACCACGAGGGGCATGAAGGAGGTCCTGACTGGAAGCAGCCACCTGGGTCCCCTTGGGGGGGGGGTCATCAGCTATCTCTTTGTTATTCACAGCTTCCCTGTGCTAGAGACCACAGCTCTAGGGCTCCGTAAACTCGTTTTGTGCACTCACAAACAACCTAGTGATTGCAGTTTGAGTCTCAGGTCTTTTTTGGAAGTTTTTTTTTTTTCTTCCATAGAGTACTATATGTTTGCTGGAGAGAAATAGAGAGGCAGTGAGAGGGAAGGTGGGAAATCACCCCCTTGGGGGAGCTGACCATACTGCAGTCCTTTTCCATTCTCCTCCTGGAATTTTGGGCATGCACATGCGTCTGATGTGGTTTTCAAGCTTCCAGGTCTGGGACTCGAATCACGGTCTGCCATATGAGAGTTGAGTGCCATAACCACTACACCATCTGCTGGCCACAGAGACTTAGGTCTTCTTTTCCTTAACACAACCACTATTTCACTTTGAGAATGCAGAGGGACCCCATTTGTTGTAGCCACATTCCAGAGAATGCTGGGTGTTGTCCTATGCCATGAGGAACATACTCCCACATAGCTCCTGGGAGCTTCCGCAGGCTCCTGGCCAGCATCCACCAGGTGAGCAGCCCCTGGGAACACCTGTGCTTGCCCTGCCCCAGACATGATGAGCACAGCCCTGAGCCTTCTCTCTGCTGTTTATCACTGAAATCTCTGCACTGTTCACGTCTTTTGAATTCTGCTGAAAGGAAAGTCTCACAGAGGCACCCAGCTAAGGGTTCCTATCACCTTCCTGATCTCTCAACTGGCCAAAAGAAGAAAACAGAAGAAAAAAAGTGGGGGGGGGAGAAAAGATCAAACAGTGGAGATAAAACAAAGGTAAATGCAGAAACAGAAATGACACCCTGCCCCCAGAAATGTAAGGCTATTTAAAAATTAAGTCAATAAAGATTCTCATTGTAGAAAAGGTGAAAGTTCTAGGCATGAAAAAGCCTCTCCCTGCCTCCCCCTGGGTATACGTAGTCACTCAAGGCAAATTTTATCCACATATTTACTGAGGTGTTTCACCAGGTCTCAGCCTAGGTTCCTCCAGAGACATGGAGCTGGGAGGATATGTTTATACCCACATTTATATATAGATGTATAGACTAAGAGGTTCACTGAGGTAGGAGGTAGTGGGTCAGCGCTGGACCTGTTGGACAGGAGCTGAAGCTGTTCCACAGCGGAGTTTCTTCTTCCTCAGGGAGGCTTCAGCTCTGCTTGTCTATTCGCTGATCGGGTGAGGTCAACCACCAGGTCATCCAGGACAATCTCCTTTACCTACTGTATGGCCAATGCATCGTTGATGCTAACCGTATCCACAAAATCCCTGCGCAACACCACCTCAATTAGTGCTCAAATGAAAAACTGAGAATGGCAGCCTCACCCAGCGAACGCAGAGACGTGACCATTCACCAGGCCCTCTTCTTCATAGAAGGCCGGAGTGTCACCAGTTCAGGCTGTGCCACCAGGCCGTCTCTCACAACTGCTCAACTCTGCTGCTGCGGGCACGATGCCAGCAAATGGGTGCGGCTGTGTGCCCATAAAGCCTTATCTATGGACACTGAGGTTTGAATTTCACATCATGTTCTGGGAAATAAAATCTTCTTCTTCTTCCATTTTTTCCCCCCAACCATTTAAGCCTTTAAAAGCATTCAGCTCACAGGCTGTATGGCCCTGGGGCCATAGTTTTCTTTCCTGTGGTGCAAAGAAAGATGTTTCAAAAAAAGTCAGCTTCTCCTAAGGGTCAGTTCAGTGAGGACCTGGAGGTGGAGTCACTACCTTCCCTGGCCCTTCCTAGTGGTGAGCTGGCATGGTGGGGGCGGAGTGCGGTAGTGACTGGCCACTCAGGTTTCTTCCTGATGCAAATCCTAATGCATTAAAGATGGATCTTCCCCAAGAAATTTTGTTAGATATTTCTAGGCCCCAGATAGCACCAAGTACTCACTTCTGAAACTTGTGATTTTTGAAACCTGTGATTTCTGTATGTGGTGCCCTTGAAGTTTCATCAGTACACAAGACAGCTTTAGCCAGTGTGCTGGTGTTTCCAGTAGATGAACAGCTCTTGACCCCTCCCATTGCACTGAGTATCTGCCTCTCTTTCAGAAAGGTCAGTTTTCCAGTACATTCTTTTTATCTTTTTCTTTCTTTCATTCTTTTAAAGGTTTTGGCCATTGGATGCATATGCTCACCAGAAAGAGACAGAGAGAGAAAGGGATTGTGGCCAAGCCATAATCCTTTATTCTCCTCTTGGGATTTTGGGCATGCACACACCCGGTGTGATTTTCAAGCTGCTGGGTCTGGGACTTGAACAGCAGTCAATCATGTGGGAGTCCAGTGCTTTAGCCACCATGCCAGCTGCTGGCTCCTGATTTCTGGTACATTCTATTGGGGGGTCTACCAGCTAAGTTCATTGACAGGGTAGGTAATGTGGATCTCTGAAATGTTAGGCTCTGCTCAAAGTGTTGGCCTCCACGCAGTAGCCTTGGAGACTTTGAGACTTCTCTCTGAGGGAAAGCCATTTTTGACACAAAGATGTGAAGCATTCC